AAATCAGAAGCAGAAGCAACAGCCATAAACTTGGGGTTTTAAAATATAACTATGGAATTGGCCTCCATGAATTACTGTGAATATTTAAATGTGCATCTTTTAAAATCCAATTAAACTACCATAACTTTCTGCAGCAGCAAGTCCCACAGTTTCACCATATACTTAGTGAAAATAATATTAATTTTTTTTTAAGCCAGAAGGTGCTTTTTCTCTAATTCTTGTGTTTTGAGAAACAGTGAATAATCACTTCCTAGCCATACTTTTCATGGTGTATATATAAGTGACTGACAGACAACTACAGTTCAGCTCCCTCAATTACCTCTTTCCAAGCTGTAGAGCCTTAGTCAACTCTGTCTTTCTTCAGGCAGAAGATGCTCCTGACCTCTGACAACTCTTGTCAAGTGTTCTCATCAAGTTCCACTCAATCCTTTTTGCAATGGGAAATACATTCAATATTCATAAATTTAAAAAGTGCTATAATTGTGTTTTCAGTTAGGTTGGGTTTGGAAGCCTTTGGTTTAGGCTATTTCTTGCTCTTTCATTTCTGAATTCAGCTGACTTAAATCCTGGCTTTTCTCCTACGTTAGAGTTTTTATGGTGTCCTCTCCACTCCCCTTCCCCCAGTGCATCACCTCAAAGTGTATGTTCTTCCATTCCTACAAGCTTTCATGCAGTCTTTGGCTGAAAACTTCTCCCATATCTTTTACATTTGAAACAGCAGCAATCTACACAGGAAAGACTATTAAACAACAAAACAGGGGGTAAAACAATTTGAGCAAAATGCACTGACTGGCAATTTTTGCCATAAGAAAGCATAAATCAGCATTAAAAAAGTATTTAAAGCCTAAGAAAACAAAAGAAGCTGAACACCAGAACAGTGACTTACTTCTGCAGCATGGCTTGCCACTCGCCTAGTCTGTCTCCTATGGGAAACCGCTTAATGGTGCTCTGAATCTTCGCTCGCCACTCCCTCATGTAGTCCTCAATGTCGAACACAAACGGCTGCTGCCCAAAGTTGGCATCGACTATCTCTCCTGGAGTCTGGAGACCCACTGTAGGGTAGAGATTTGACTGGGAAGGAAGAAAAAGAAACCTACATTAAACCCAGCTTTCTCTTTCTGGTTCCAGTCGCACGGTTTGGTAAGACAAAAGAGCTGCTCTTTAAATTGAAACATGTAATGGAAGAGGAAGGGGCAACAGACCTTTAGGTACACCTCAAGGAACCCCATGACTTATTGTGCAGTTATTAGAAGTTATTGCATAAAACCAGAACGATGGGATCAATCCCCCAGCAGTCTGTGATCGATGCCACGACTGCTGTCTATGGCGTGTCCACTTGCTGGCTTGCTTTTCTGCAATTTCTACCAAAGTTCAGCAGTCAGTAAATAATAATAAAAAAAAAATATGAAAAGGGCATCATCTCAATCAGCAGATCTAAGTGTTCTCCACTGTTTCAACTGAACTCTCTTATTCCTTGGAAGCTGCTGTCTAAATATTTTACATCTTTGATGAAAAGGGAATGGATGGTAGTGGAGCTCTGACGTTAGGTCTTTGATGATCCCAAGACAGCAAGCCATCCACACAAGAAATTCCACTACTGGTAGATGAATTTCATTTTAAGAACAAGCATATGGATCCCAATGGGAGTTCTGACACCACCCCCACCCTGAAAGACGGGAAAAAGAAAAAGGTTACCACTGTGAAAGTACCTCTAAAATTCAGCCAGTAATTCAGCTCCCAAAGACTAAGATCTAACTGAGCACAGGTGGTAAAAGTCTATCCAGAAGTTCTCTGAATTCAGCCTATTTTAAGAATAAGCTTATGGATACGAATTGAATCCCTGAACCCACTTAAATATGGGATAAAGAAAGGGCATCAGAAGAGGTACAGGGATGCCTGGTTCTCGCTCTGGATCACATTTTTTAAGAGCATGTTCCATTCACTCTCCTGTTACTTTTCTGCAGCATAAATTACTTTTCTGTTTGCAACACAAACTTCACTAATCCTCTGCTTTGGAGCATCTGCTGATAGCCTGCGGGGTGTAGGAAGCAATCTCTCTCACGCCACTCATGAACTGTTTGGTGTTGGGTTTTTTCACTTTGCTTTAACACACTGGAGACTGCCACAGCCAGAAATCAGACACTGGGCAAGGGACATGGATGCACGTAGTGAAACTGAAGTCTGGAAGGTGCCTGGCTGCAGTGTCTTGCCCATGGCTGATCCCATGTCGGACGTTAGACCAGTGGAGGAGGAGACCCCTCTCTCCAGGTCAAATCAGCAAGAACTACTACTGGTGGTTAGACGGTCATCCTAAAGAAAGCTAGGATGATTCTCTCCTCCTCTATAGCACAGGGCATGGACTTTTCTACAATGATCTGGAAAATTTATTCAACTAATTCTTCACTATTGTGGAGACCTGAGACATTGGCAGTGTCATTGATCTCCCCTTGAGACCTACTGTAGTTGTGGATTTTACTTTTTACTAAAGGTATTAAGATTGTTACGAGTCCTAATCACATTAGCAAAAATGGAGCCAGCATGTCGTGGGAAGTGATTACTTCTCTCTGCTTTCACGGGCGCAGCTACATCTGCAGTACGTACTTGGTTCACCCCCTCCACATCCACATCCCCGGGACAAGAAAGACATTCACAAACGGGGTCCAGCAGAGTTCTGCTAAAATGGTCAGAGGGCTGGAGCGCATGGCATACAAGAGAGGCTGAGGGAATTAGCTTGGAGAAGAGAAGGCAAAAGGCAAAATCTAACTGCAAGTCTTCCACTCCCAAAAGGGAGGTGATAAAAAAGACGGAGACAGATTCTTCTTAGAGGCGCTCAGTGAAAGGGCAATGGGCACAAGTTGCAGCCAGGGAAATTCTGATGGAGCATAAGGAAGAAATTCTTCCTTGTAAGGATGATTAAAGACTGAAACAGATTCCCAGAGAGATGCAGCATCTCTGTCCTCAGAGATTTTCAAAACTCAACTGGACAAGGTCCTGACCAACCTGCTCTACCTTTGAAGTTATTAAATCTCAAAAAACAAAGGAAAAAAAGAATCTATAAATACAGGCTGGAAATTGAAATCAGAAATCAGGATGATTGCATCACTGTGACTCAGCACACCTCCTCCTCATCTATTCTCACACCAAGGAAGTCGCTGGGTTAGAAGGTGTGCAAAGAAAATACAGCATGATGAAGGAGGAGCTACCAGAGGAAAACATCATATTTAAAGTCAGTCTCTCCTTTCTTTCAACGCAGCCGACAGGGTAATATCTCTAATGAGGGTTCAGATCTTTTCCACAGTCCATACTTATTAACTTTTTAGTATTATGAACACAAGGACTTCCAAAGCCAGGAATCAGACCCCCAAAATACTTGGAAGTTAGAAGTAAAAAACCCCGTATTTTTCAACCACTTTTGGGTATGTTCATCTTTGAGGGGAAGCTGGCTACCCCCAACTTGTCTCTAAGTTAAAATTCCATTTTTCACATGTAGGATGTGTCCTCTCTCTTTAGCAGCTGTTGGGAAGTACACGTATCTCCACCACTCTGCCAGACGTAGGGAGACATCATCACAGAGCCCACGGGCCAGGCAGATGCTTCTCCTGCCAAGTTCTTCAGGCACACCCTCCCTGTGACTTTTGGACCACCTCTTGCCTCTGATGTTGGCAGTCAGTTGCTCACAACCCCCTAGTTCATCCCGACTTGTTTTTTAACCTCCTTGTCCCTTTGTGCCCCTGCAATCCCCCCTGGGCTCTTCCACTTTCGGCTTTTTTACATTTCCTATTGTTTCAGCAAACCACCAGGCAGGATAAACCTGATATGGGCTTGTGTAAATAAGAGAGTTAGGCCTAAGCATTAACTTAAATCAGTGAAAAAGGGGAAAATTCCCTCTGTGGGATATTCACTTCTATTTGCAAGCAGTTATTTTTGTATTAACTTCAACCTGTGCTAAGCCCAAATGCAATTTTTCCCCTCGCTGTATATTTGTACAGATGCAAACACTCTTCAGAGGGAACTGAAACAAGCTGAAGCAAATACGCTTCACTGTGTGTGAGAATTATCACAATAAAATGTGGTTTTCAACTGTAAGTATCCATTTCAACTTCCTAATATTGCAAATATTGCAAATTATTGTCTTCATCATTTGCCTCTGAAAGAGGAATTTTGCAATAAGCCCTTCAAGGGAACAATTTCTAGACTGGTAATATTTTGAAGGGTCAAATTAATTCCTTGTGTAATCTCACTGACGTGCCAACCCAAAAAGTTATTTAAGCTTGAAAGGCATACAAGTAATGGGGTTTACTGGCCAAGCTTCTCACTGATGTGTGCTACCAGTCAGCTTCAACATCACATAGGCTGTAATGCAAGAAAAAGCTTTCAACCTACAGCCCCTCCCTGGGGGATTTCAGTAATTAGGTATGGAATAGAGCCAGAGCCAAAAAATGCATGTCAAGCTGCTCAAACCAGAGAACCTCAAGGGTCACTCAGGGAAGACTGCTGTTTCCATTCCCGTTTGCAGTTAAATTTTTAGACTGCAGCTTTAGCAGGTGAAGAACACAGATTACATTCTATATCTTTCATATGATGGATGTTTTCTCTTCTTTACCTTACAATGAATGGATATTGTGTTCGAGCCTGGATCACAATGCTATAATAAATGAAAAATACCACTTGCATGTTATATCAACTTCAAATTCCCTACTACCTCAAGACTTCTACAATCCCTGACAATAGTCATTATATTTAAACCAAAAGTCTATCTTGGGGTTTGCATCCCCTTCTTCAGGAAAGGGCAGTAACCTCAACTGTTTGGGAAGAACAGCCAAGAAGCCATGGACCGAGGGAGCAAAAAGGGCCAGAAAAGGACATGGAATACATAGACGCCTGCAAGGGTGAGGGAAGAAGGCAGTAATTCAAGGGAATGATATTGGAAAAGGAGGATGGGAATGATAAAAATCAGGTGCAGGCATCCTTAGGATGAAGCTGCCAACACAGCAGCTGAGCCACTTAGCACATGGAGAGGAACGTCCAAAATCCACACCGAGGCAGAAGTCTCCTGTCCTTGCTCACATCCACAGTTAGGGGGCGAAATGACCCAGTCAAGCTTCTCTTGCCCTCTTTTTAAAGAGAAATTATCTCATGGAGGATAATTCTCAACAGCAGGAGGCCTATAGGGCATCCACTGTTCACCCTCCTGGCCCAGAAAAAGTGTTATGGATTAGTCGCTGCTGTAAAGGCCAGAAGGAGATTTCCATGGAAAACATCTCCGCAAACTCTGGCTGGTAAAAGGCACAGAGATACCATTTAACCATTGGAAACTCTGCCACAAGGAATGTGAACAGCTGATCCCCAAAAACACCTGACCAGATCTTCCTCCAGTTTAACACTAAAACAACATCTCCTCTGCACGGGACACACAAACAAGCGTGAGATCCTGTAAGGCTGACCTGGTGAGATCAAGAAACAGCAGGATGGGGGGATGTCCTGGGCTCAGGAGGGTTTTGAATTCAATCTCAGAGGCACTGCAAGACCTCACTGCTGCAAGAGCCCTTCCGTCAGGTCTGCTCCCATGCATCTTCCCCAGCTGTTCGTCCCCTATTTGTAACAGAGACTCAACACCGGTGTGAACAGCCTACGAGTGCACGTTAAATGCATCAGCTCACTGTGCACTCCTGGATCAAAAGGATGCAAGTTAAGCTAAGCAGGACAGGTAATTTCAGCCTGCCGGATCAGTGCTGCGAAGCCCTACAGCAACACTTTAGCTGTAAACAACAAAAACCAGTATGTGTGTTTGATAGCTATTTTTGATTGATAAGAGCCTAAATAGCAACTAACTAACTATCTATCTATCTATCCATCCCCATGAAGACTGCTCTCATCTCAGAAAGAGGAGCAGTCTAGCCAAAGAGAAGACAAAGCGGTGAAAAAATTAGAAGGAATATAGTAAAACTGTGACTCCTAATGTAATCTATATCCACAGGGAAAACAAAGAGCACCTAAAACTAAGGGGTATACCATAGAAACGTCTTCTTGCCATGGATGCAAGGTTGTCACAAGACCTCGCACCAAAAGGACAGGTAAAATATTCTTTTACTTTAATAAACTGTACTTGGACCAAGTGAATAAACTACTGTGAAACAACCCACATAATGAGGGTTTCTGGTTTAGAATACACTGCAACACTACCAAGTTCAAAGAGCCTAGGAACAAAAAAAAGAGCTGTATTGACAGCTGATGTGAAAAGGCAAATTAAATAACTGGAACGAACCCCGCACAGACACTGGCTGGGGTATGGAAGAGATCTGTAAAGCCATAAATCCCATTGGGAAGGTGAACAGGGAGTGCTAGTCATTATTTCTCACAACACAAAAATTATAGGAACAAAATAGATTTTTTGGCAGGAGATGCAAAACAAGCTTTCTTCCACACGACGTGGAAGTCAGCCAAGAAAATCGATCACTTTGAAGGCCTAAACAAGTTATGGAAACTAAGAACTTCCTCAGAGGAAATTCTTCTGGGGTTATTAAGTACAAAGACAGGAGTGCAACCTCTGGGACAAGTAGTTCTATATATGAGAGAAACAGATGCAGTGGATGTATTGGTGTATGCCTGACCTGGTTTTATCTTCTTTTCCTAAACACCTGCTCCTTGTCCAGGAGCACTGTGAAAGTCGTGCTTTTCTAAGACCCGACTAGACGTTATTGCCTCGTGTGACTCAGCTGGTGTCACTGCACTCAAGAGTAACTCAATATCGGGGCTGGTGAATCAGAGGAGTAACTATCAATCCCACACGGGTGCCAAACACATTCCTCTAGCAATTCCACGAGCTGGTTACTCATCACGGGTGGAGGCTTGACAACAACCTGTGCAATGAGCCAGCTGAGCCTGACCTTCATTCTCAGAAATACCCTTCCCTAGCCACACCGTGGAAAGGGAACAACTCCACCACGGCTGCAAGACTTGGATGAGACAGGAAGAAGCTAAAAATAATATCATTAGGTATTTTTGGGCTCTCTGATGATGGGACATGAGAGGCTACTCCATGACTTTGCACATACGCTCCCCACAGTCGATACTGCATTTGGAAGACAGTGACCTGTAATGAAGTTTGAATCCTCGCTTTAATTCCAGAAGGAGCAACACATTCTTCGAGGTGGTGAGGGATGAGAGGAGGCATGTGAGTAGACCACAAACCCAGCCACAGGATTACGAAGTTTCAGAAGAAGGAGCATCCACATAATTCAGTAATGTGCGTTACCGTTTTTTAACAGAAAAAAAAAAAATCACACCCCCCCACACTCTTCCCCCTCCCTTCTGTTTGCATCCTTAGTTAAAATACTGAAAATAGGTGTACTTACAGGGAGGTCTGTAAAGGCTATACCTGTGGGGGGAAAAATATTAGAATTAAAAAGACAAAGGATTTTTTTCCCTGCTTGGCTACATCTTTAACATTCTACAAAACGTTACTGCATTTCAATAAATCCCAGCTCTGACCCTGCATTTCACCACCTGTCATATTTAGAAGTAACTTCCCTCCCCAGTCCCCTCCTCTGCAAGGTTTTGCATCTGGAGAAAGGTTCAGGGAAAAACCTAAATGTTTCAGACATCTCTCCCAGAAATTGTATTTCCTAAAAAACAGCTCCTCTTTTCTTTGCTTCTCCCTTTGTTACTATGAAGGAGTTGGTTTTCAAGACTCACTTTGGCTTTAGAAACAGAGTTTTACTGTAACGTTGCTTTGGTTTAGGCTATAACTACTTCTCCTTACCAGCCAGAGAGACGGGAATGAACATTCAATTTCCCCCAGCGTTACAGCTGGGGAGCAGCCTTGCGACAGGACCAAGCTGCAGCCAGGAGCACCTGAGAAATACTGTGCAATGAACAGCTTCATCCTCAACTACACTGCTACAGTTCCAAATGTAAGAGATGGAAAAAAGTGTCTGGTTTCCCTTTTCATTTACATTTGGCATGCGAGAAAAGAGGTATCTACTTAAGCAGAGGCAGCCATTGCCTAGGATGGCTAACAGAGTTGTGGCCAGAGACAACGCTCAGCTACAGAGTCAGCTACTCTGCATCTGATTTAGATGTGAGCTCCACTCAGAAGGAGGGTGCCTCTCCTCCCTCTCCCGTGGTGTGTGTCCCTGCATCCGCCGGGCAGCTGCACGGTGAGATGGATCGGACAGCGACAGCAGCTCTAACCCACGGGTTTTGGGTCACCCTCACCAACAGCACAGGGGAAAATGCTGCCATGCCCTGTTCGCCTTATCAGGCTGGGCTTAATTCACGTTTTAAGCTAACATTTCAGGAGACAATCTGGAAGCTGCAGTCTTGCCCCACGTGTGCTCCCAGCAATGCTTTCTGTCCCCAGCCAGAGGAGGGCTGGTACCCACACCAGTATGCCCAGTTCTCGCACCCGTCCCACCTCTCGGCCACGCAGCAGTCCCTTCTGGGTGGCAGTGAAACAGCTGCACAGAAGCAAGAGCACATCGTTCTCTGTTTTCAATGTTAGGACTATTTTAACCAAGAGCTACAATGTAATGTTACCAGATCAGCCTGAAATGGTAATTTAAACCGATTTTAGGAGTCAACATAGGAAACAAATAATTACTATTTAAAACAGCACAGATCCAAAATCAAATGCTCGGAAAAAAATCCCAAATATTTTACTAAATAATTTAGTTTAATTAACATCCTGGCAGTTTGGACCTTGTCTGTTGAGTACCCTCTCTACAACCCAACCAAAAACTGTGTTTACAGGTGATGTCGAACACCTGGCTGGGAAAAATGTTCAGTAAGCATTTCTCTCACCCCAGCACTTTTCCCAAATACTGTTCCTCACTCAAACCTGTTTTTCACTTTGCACTTGTTTTGCTCAGCCAGATGAAAGCTTGTTTCTACCCTTACACCAGAATAAGGCCAACCTCCTTGAGTCTGCAGCCCACTGGAGTCCTCCTCTGCCACCAAGGATCACTCAGAGCCAAAGGTGGCCTGGCTTTCCCGTGACAACTCATGCAGCTGTACAGCTGGGAGCTGCATCCAGCAGACGGGCAAGCATACAATTTTTGAGCGGACTACAAGGTGGGTGGAAAATTGGCTGGACTGTCAGGATTGAAGGGTTGCGATCAGCAGCTCAAAGTCCAAGTGTTGTCCCTCAGGGATCGATGGTAGGGCCAATACAGTTTAATGTCTCTACTAATGACCTGGACGATGGGACGCCGCGCACTCTCAGCAGGTTCACAGATGTTACCAAACAGAAAAGTGGACAACATGCTGGAGGGCATACTGCTATTCAGAAGGACCTCAACAGGCTGGAGAAATGATCCAGCACAAACCTCATGAAGCTCAACAAAAGCAACTGAAGAGCCCTTCCACCAGCTTGTAATATTCCCAGAAAACAGGACAGGCTGGGGCTGAATGGAGAGAAAGCAGATCTGCAGAAAAGGATGCAGGGGGTCCTCCTGGGCAACAAGTTGAGCAGGAGTCAGCAGTGGGTCCTTGCAGTGAAGCAGGTCAACCACATCCTGGGCTGTATTAGAGTGTAGCTGGAGCTGTATTAGTAAGCTGGGCTGTATTAGTAAGAGTGTAGGTTAAAGGAAGGGATTGCTCCCTTCTCTTCAACACTTGTGTGTCTAAACTTGGGAGTATGACGTTCCCTTTTGGGCTCTCCAATACAAGGCAGACAGCAAAACTGGACTGAGTCCAGCAGAGGCCAACAAGATGAAGGGAAGCTATGGGAAATTGGGATGTTCAGTCTTATTCAGGGGTTGTTCAGACACTTACTGCTGCCTACAACTACCTAATGGGAGGGTGCAGGAAAGACAGAGCCAGACGTTTCCCAGAGATGCATGGTGACAGGACACAGGAGGCAACAGAGACAAGTTGCAACATGGGAAATTCTGATTTGATATTAGGGGGGAAAAATTCCGTATGAATGTGGTCAAACACTGAATCAGGGGACCAGAAAAGCCCCCTGGGGGATCTCCATTCTTGGAGACAGTAGAAACTTGACAAGTTTCTGAGTAATGTGATCTACTTGGTCCTGCTTTCAGCATGACCTCCAGAAATCCCTCCCAATGAAAACATATAGAATATATAGAATCATAAAGTTATTCTACATATAACTTATTACACTGCCTTTAAATTAAGGCATGTATATGTTTTGCATCCTCTATTATAGAACTAAGACCAATAAAATGCTTTACCCGTACAAAACTACATCTGTTGCACAAATATGTTTGCTTAGAGAGTTCATCCTGAAACTGTACTGCTACACACCTGCATCCAACAAAGTCAACAGCAGAAAGCGAAAGAATCACAGCTCTAAGTAGGCAGCCAAATTTG